TCCGGGGCCGGGAGGGGGGCAGACGAGTTTCCCTGGTGTTGGCCAGAGTGGCCACCAGGGAAACCTGGGGAGGGCTAGCCTCCCACTAGTTCAAATTAAGGGGCTACACACCCCTTAATTCGAACTAGTAAATTCGAACTAGGCTTAATCCTCGTGGAATGAGGATTACCTAGTTCGAACTAAGCGCTCCGTTAGTTCGACTTAAATTCGAACTAACGGAGCGGGGAGGGCTAGCCTCCCACTAGTTCGAATTAAGGGGCTACACAGCCCTTAATTCAAACTAGCTAGTTCGAACTAGGCTTAATCCTCGTGGAATGAGGATTACCTAGTTCGAACTAAGCACTCCGTTAGTTCGAATTAAATTCGAACTAACGGAGCGCTAGTGTAGCGCCTATGAAAGTTAGTTCGAACTAACGGACGTTAGTTCGAACTAACTTTGTAGTGTAGCCATACCCTCCCTTTCCCGAGGGTCCACCTTTAACAGGACTTCCCCCATGCAGGGACTGCAGCCCAAGAGTGCCTTACGTCCATGAGGAGGGCCCCAACCATGGACTTTCCCATGCCAAATTGGTTGCCCACCAACCAGTAGCTGTCGAGGGTGGCAAGTTTGCAGAGGGCAATTGCGACCTGCTTGTCCAGGGGGAGCCACAGGTGGGTGTCGTGTCTCTGGAGAGTGAGGGTGAACCAGGCACACAGCTCCAAAAAGGTGGCCTTCCACATGCAGAAGTTTTGGAACCACAGCTGTTCGTTCCACCGCTCCATGACCAGCCGGTTCCACTAGTCCAAACTGGTGTCCAGCCTCCATGGTGAACAAGCTGTGGCAGCCACAAAAGCAGGGCAACCACAGCAGGCACTGTGAGAGCTTTGCTGTCCCTCGAAGAGGTAGCAAGCACGCAGCAGAAGCAAAGAAATGGCTGTTCAGGGGGGTCCCTTTAAGCACATGTCTCTGCAAGGCACTAGCACTCGGAAGCAACTGGTGACCTAAAGCTCTTCCTGAAGTGGTTCTGGGAGGCCTTTTATGCAAGAGAGGGTCCAATCACACACAATCGATGCGCTTTTGTGTGTGGACGTTCTCTTTCAGAAGTTTTTTCGGAAGTTCTCTTCCGAAAAAAACTTCTTCCAAAAGATGTCTGCAGTCTAGATGTAGCCAGAAATGTTAAATAGTGAAGGGCCAAGAACTAATACCTATGGGACCCCAGTTGAAACACAGCCACTTGAGGATTTCCTTTATACAGTTACATTTTGAGACCTGTAAGTTAGCCAGTTTTTAATCCATTTAATGTGTGCCATGTTAAATAAAATTATAATGTTATAAAATAATCAAAATATGTGTTATCAAGTCAAATGTCTTACAGAAATCTGCTATTCCACCAACATTGCCCCTTTATCAATGGAACTAAAAGAGATTTCAGGTTAGTTTGATAGAATCTATTTTCCATAAATCTACATTGATTGATTTTAATTGTATTACCCCTTAATTCATTATTAATTGAGCCTCCATCCGCTGCTCCATTATCTTGTCCAGGACTAATGCCAGACTCACAGGCATATAATTAATCAGGTTATCCTGTTTATCCTTTGTAAATATTGACTCATCATTAGCTTTCTTCCTATTTTCTGGAACTTCCCCAGTGTTTCCAGACTTATTGAAAAATCAACATTAATAATTCAGTGGTCACTTCAGTTTGCTTTTAAAACTCTTGGATACAAGATATCTGGACTTGCTGATTTAAAAGGGTATGTCTACATAGCAGTATTGTTTCAGAATAACTAGCATTATTCTGAAATAGCATAGTGCGTGTCTACGCAACAAGCCTTTATTTCAAAATAATGTTGAGCTGAAGGACTTGTTACTCCGATTCATGGTAGCCCTCATTTCATGAGGAGTAAGGAAAGTCAAAGGAAGACTATCTGCTTATCAAATAGTGAACAAGCTATTCAATTAGTCACTTACTCAAAATTTAACATCCCGGGCTCGTCTACACTGGCCCCTTTTCCGGAAGGGGCATGTAAATTTCATGAGTCGTAGTAGGGAAATGCGCGGGGGATTTAAATATCCCCCGCGGCATTTAAATAAAAATGTCCGCCGCTTTTTTCCGGCTTTTAAAAAAGCCGGAAAAGAGCGTCTACACTGGCCCCGATCCTCCGGAAAAAGTGCCCTTTTCCGGAGGGTCTTATTCCTACTTCGAAGTAGGAATAAGAAAAGTGCCCTTTTCCGGAGGGTCTTATTTTTTAAAAGCCGGAAAAAAGCGGCGGACATTTTTATTTAAATGCCACGGGGGATATTTAAATCCCCCGCGCATTTCCCTACTACGACTCATGAAATTTACATGCCCCTTCCGGAAAAGGGGCCAGTGTAGACGTAGCCCCCTAGTGTAGCACTAAAAGCAGAATTAAACTATTTCAACTTCAGCTACGCAATTGATGTAGCTGAAGTTGCATAGCTTAATTCAACTTTAGCCCTTCTGTGTAGACGTAACCATAAATGTCTAACATTGCTAACA